TTCAAATGTCCGACAGGTACGTGAAAAAATGTTCAATGTAAATACTCATCCAGGAAATGCAAATCAAAACCACAATGCAATATCACGTCATACCTGTTAGAATGGCTCTCATCAAGAAAATAAGAGATAACACGTATCGGTGAGGATGTGGAGAAAAGGGAGTACGCTGTGGGTGGGAATGGAAATTGTCTCAACCACTGTCGAAAACAGTATGGAGGGTCCTCAAAAAACTCAACATGTATCTATATGATGCAGCAATCCTCCTTCTGGGTATACACCCTAAGGAAATGAAAGGAGGACATTGAAGACATGAAGGCACTCCCATATTTACTGCAGCAGTATTCACAGTAGCCAAGATACAAAACAACTTAAGTGCCCATCGACAGATGAATGGATAAAGAGGATGCGGCGTATACATACGATAGGGTATTATTCAGTCATGAGAAAGGACATCCTGCCGTTTGCAACAACACAGACCTTGAACACATTATGCTAAGTGAGATAAGACAGAGGAAAACAACTGTCTGATGTCCTATGTGGAGTCTAAAAAAAAAAGCAAAACTCATAAAAACCAAGAATAAAACCATAGTTGCCAGGGGATGGGGGAGAGGACAGATGTTGTGTAAGTGTACCAACTTGCAACAAGTAGTAAATAAACCCCAGAGTCTCATGCAGACTAGAGTGAGCATAGAAAACATTATTGTGTTTAATCATCGAAACTGCTAAGAGACTAGAACTTGGTTATCACAGTCACTAAAAAGAAAGGACGACTAGGTAACATGACAGAGATGCTAATTATCACTACAATGACAGTCATCTTACAATATATAAATGTATCAAATTAAGATGTTTTACCATTACATTTACACAATGTTCTGTGTTAAGCAATTTCCATTTAGGCTATAGTCAGCTGGGGAACTGAAGAATTGTTTTTAAATCAGATTTATGGAGGAGATTAAATAATTTCATGAACTCGGTTTGAAATTGATCACGGCCTTTAAACAGTCTTATTTTTTCCCCCTAAAAATAGAATTGGTCACCAAGTGACCAAAGTTAGCATGCCCTTTTGTTAACCCAGTTATAGAACATATTACTGGAGCAGCATCAAAAGTTCATCTCAAAAAAATGTTTTATTAGGCTATTGCCAGAACTGACTTCTGGCAAAAAATCTACTTTGATTCCTTGGCAGTGATCTGCTTGGCTGGGCCCATTCCCCAACATTTAGTAAGAAAAACAGGGTCCTATAATGGTATCCAATTTCCCTTGAGGACAGCAAGATTCAGTGATAAGCCAGTTCAGTTTCTTTGCACCTGTTGTGGCTAAGCAGGATTACATGAAGTCAGAAGTGATGGTGGAGAAACACTGCAGTCACTCACAAAGCCACTGAGGATCTGGAGAATAAGATTTCAACAACCGAAAAAGTGGACGTAAACAAAGGTGGTAAGTCCAGGTCCCTTAAAAAGACATGAAGACAGATTATCTACAAGATGCTAATAGATCACCATATCCTTTAAGAACATAACCAAAGATCTCCAAACACTTGGTAATGAAGCTCTGTGGACATCGGATAACCTGGCCCATCAGTTGACGATCTTTCAGCTGAAAAGAACAAAAGACCCAATTAAATCTGGGTTAAGTGATAAGGACATGTATTATCTTACATGAGGAGTCTGCAGGTTGATTAATTCAGTGGTCCAATAATTTCTGCTCCCGCTTTGCTTCTCTTAGATGTGTTGATATTCCCCTTTTAATCACAGAATGATTCCATCAGTGCTAAACATCACTTCCCTGTGCAATGACTTCTCTAAACTGTAGGAAGTTGATGACCTCTTTAAATTACCCTTCCAACCTAAATCCTCATATTAAATGACTTACGTTTCTCTTGAAAGTGGCATTTAGCTGAAATTTATTTTTTTAACCCATTCAAATAGACCTTGTGTGTTTTTTTTTTGGGGGGAGGGGGGTTATTTGTTTTTATTTTTGCTTTAGAGAGAGAGAGAGAGCACCTAAGCAGGGGAGGGGGCAGAGGGACAGAGAAAGAGAATCCCAAGCAGGCTTCATGCTCAGTGCAGAGCCCGACTCAGGGCTCAGTCATGACCCTGGGATCAAAAACTCAGCCAAAATCAAGAGTTGGACACTCAACCAACTGACCCACCCAGAAGACCCTAGACTTTGGTCTTTAATGAGGAGTTTTAAACATTTACATTTTGCGGCACCTGCGTGGCTCAGTCAGTTGGGCGTCCGACTTCGGCTCAGGTCATGATCTCGCGGTTTGTGAGTTCGAGCCCCATGTCAGACTCTGTGCTGACAGCTCGGAGCCTGGAGCCTGCTTCAGATTCTGTGTCTCCCTTTCTCTCTGCCCCTCCTCGCTCATACTCTGTCTCTTAATAATAAATAACGTTAAAAATTTAAAAAATAAATAAATAAAACATTTACATTTGTTTTGATAACTGTTCTATTTGGGGTTATCTGTGTGATATTATTTAATGATTTTTATATTGTAATCACATGGAATTTCAGTCTGAAACAAGCCTGGTGTAAGGCGAGATACAGAGAAACCAGTTCATGCAAGTACTTGTTGGCCATTATAAGGACTTCGGATTTGTTTTTAATACAATGGAAAAACATTGAATTGTTTCAAACGGTGCTTTTTGATTTATACATTTTAAGATCAATATAACCTATTACAAGGGAAAATAGATTATTTGGAGGAAAGAGAGGAAACAGTAAGACCATTTAGGAGGATGTCAACTGAACAGGCAGTAGATGCTGGTGACCTGGCTGGGTGGCAGCATTGGCCACTGAAGGACACTAATGACTCCAAATTAAGAACTGACATACAAAGATGTGCCAATAGATCAAACAGGTGGCAGATATTAAGAGAGGGAATCAAAGATCAAAAGATTATATTTGTTTCTGGATGATGGCATTATTCTCTAGATACTGGAGAAGGCTGAGGAGGAAAATACATTTTCAAAACAAAGACTAGACAATTAATGTTTTAGATGCATAAATGTATGGTATGTCTGAAACAGCCAAATGGATATGCCAAGTCAGCTCTTGGATATGTGAGCTATTTAGTGCTCAGAGTTCAAGTCTTGACCAGAGATAGAAATGAGGGCATCATCGGCCAAGTGAGTTCTGAGAGATACCAACATCGGGGCCTGCCAGATAAAGGAAGGGTAGCCAGCAAAGGACAGTGTGAAAAGGCAGAGTGTGGTGGGAGAAACATCACAGGAGCCATTTTCTCGATGCCAAGAGAGACTGTGTTCCCAGAATTTGGGTCGAGGAAAGATGAGGATGGAAACTGTCATTGAATATGTCATCATGGAGGTCATTATTATCTTACCAAGCATTTTATTTGGAGTATTAAGGCAAAAGGCCGTTCGCACTGGTGGCAGGATAGAATGGACTGGAGGCAGTAGAGACACCATGTGGGAGTCTGGCTATGAAGCCAGTGGAAATCTTTCTTGTTTTTGCACCACTTGTAAAGCTCATTTCAGTCCATAAATACTCAGTGCACATGTGGAATCAATCTTAATAAATAGTTATCAGGGTAGACATAAAAACCTAACTGGTGTCTAGGCATATATCATCCACTGTTTGGGCAGTAGTATTCTTACTGAAATACGTCTGTATTTCTGAACCGAAGGAACCTACAGTAGCCACGGGTAGGGAAGGATGGGGCAGCCTAGAGCAATTTCCCCTTCAGTGTTGGGTTATGTCCATGAACTCTAGAGTGTGGGTTCTGTGAACTCTTCACCACCATTCCAACTCCTCTTATATCACAGTCTTACTACAGATCTTCATATGAATATCCATTCATCATAAATTATTCTGTGTTCCAGGAGAGAAAGATGGAGTCATCCAAACTATTGACATTTTCTAGTGGAAATGACCAGACCATATACTACATCTAATCTTAGTGATACATTGTTTTAAAAAAAAAAAAGTTAGCGTTGTAAGACTAGGCTTTTTTTTATAAAATTTTTTTTTAACGTTTATTCATTTTTGAGACAGAGAGAGACAGAGCATGAATGGGGGAAGGTCAGAGAGCGAGGGAGACACAGAATCTGAAACAGGCTCCAGGCTCTGAGCTGTCAGCACAGAGCCCGACATGGGGCTCGAACTCACGGACCGCGAGATCATGACCTGAGCCGAAGTCAGACGCCCAACCGACTGAGCCACCCAGGCGCCCCAAGACTAGGCTTTTTAAATTACTCTGCTTCCCTTACACAAATGGTTATACAGGATCATACTCTACATAGTTATTTAAATGCATTGTTTATATAATGATATTTTATAGTGGAGCTTTTTTTCCCAGTTTAAATTAGATTATATGACCCTAAATAATATGTCCTATTTTCCACAAGAAACAGATGTTACACCAATGATATATTTTTATATCATCTTGGTTGGGAATACTTCATATGAATGCATATATAAGGGAAACATAGTTACACTGAAAATTAACAGAGATTTACTGAGAGTTACTTTACGAAACCATTTACAAAACATCTAGTGTAATGTGTGCAAATAGGTCCTGAGGAATATTACTTTGAGGCCAAATAGTAATAACAGAAGTAAGGTCATATAATTTGTGCATCGACAATTTCAATGATGCAGAAATTAAAGATAATACATATCAGTTGATAGGCTTTATGCCTGCCTTGTACTTATGTCCATTACAATAACCACACATCATTGTAATATGACTAAGTGGTTATATTAGAAAATAATTGTTATACCCTTAAAGACTAATTGCCGAGTTGTAGTTCCTTGTAAAAGAGTGCCCTCTGAGAATAATTTCAGCTCACTGGTCTACACATTGGTCTATACATTAGTTCCTGTATATTAGTTGCAGTTTCTTGCTTCCATCTGCACAGATTCAGCAACAAAGTCAAAGTCCTCTTGTGCTTTAGTGTATAAACTAAATGTTTCATTTCCTTGATGCTGTTTATCTGACTTCTGTACAAAGTTGCATCTCTGGTTTTGTTTAGGGCCTGAAGGCGCCCTTTTTGAACATTCAGTGGAGACCCCACTCGTCAGAGCCGACCCATTTCAGGACCTGAGGTAAGAATTCTGTTCACATTTAAACTCTTGTATGGAAGGCACCTGGATATGTGCTGGAATAATATTTTAGCCGTTATTACCAGCATCTGCCTTATTCCGTTCACCGTCTTTATTCTCATCATGTTCCACTTACCAGCTAGTGGCAACTTACTAAAATCCAAGGACACTAAAAAGTGCTACAGATTCCCTATGCTTAATCCGCCCCCAACAGAAAACTTACCACCTTAACCACTTTTAAGTGTGCGGTTCGAAAGTATTAAGTACATTCGCACTGTTGTGCCACCATCACCACCACCCATCTCCAGAATTCTTTTCATTTCGCGAAACTGATACTCTGTGGCGGGTAAACTCCCCCCTATTCTCACCCGCCACCAACCCTGGAAACCACCATCCCGCTTTCTGTCTCCAGGAATTTTATGCCTCTAGGCACCTCACGCAAGTGGAATCATACAGTATTTGTACTTTGTGACCGGCCCTTTCACTTAGGATAACGTCCTCAACAATGTGTATCTTTACCTAATGTCAGAAGATATACAGTCACCCAGTTCCAGATGCAAAGGGATTCTTCATACAGGGTCTCCGTGTGCCTATGTGTATTTCACTTTATCACTGCACTACCGATGACATTTATTCCAATATTATATTTGTATTTTATAACAAAATCAAGACACTTTTTTTATTGAGTTATTTTGAAAGTTTATTTATTTTGAGAGAGAGAGTGTGTGCGCACACGAGCAGGGGAGGGGCAGAGAGAGGGAAATACAAAATCCCAAGCAGGCTCCATGATGCCAGCGTAGAGCCCAATGCGGGGCTTGAACTCATGAACAGGAGATCATGACCTGAGCCGAGGTCAAGATTCAGATGTTTAACCTACTGAGCCACCCAGGCACCCCCAAATACTATTTTTTAAAACAAATGTCTAAAGTCTAAGGCATCGCTCAAAATTATATTCAAATATATCTCTGAAATACACACGTGTAAATATCACAAATTTAAATTTTGATATTTGCTCAAATGATAGTCATAGAAGGGTGACAATTACTATTTAAGTAAAAAGGTAATTAATTTGTATTTAGATTTGCATTTCTTATAGCAAAATCATTTGAACTTGAAATAAAGGCAGAACAATTAACATCCTAATATATTATGTATCATAGAAGAAATAAAGTACAGTCCCGGCTTTACACTGAGAAGCCTTGTGACCTTGGCCAAACTAAACTTTGGAAACTATTTTTTCTCATTTATAAAATGCTGGTAGTAATACATATTTCAAAGGATTCTGGGAAAGATTTAATAAGCTGTTAGGTTAAGAGTATTTTGTAAACTGGAAGTTGAAGACACATAATCATTTTTATTATCAGTATTATACCAAGTGAATAATCACACTAAATGGAATAAAAGGAAATTAAGCATTTCTCTTATCTTTAATGCCTAATTAAATATTAGTCAAAAGCAAGTGAGAGTTTAATTTATCTTACCCACTTAGAGAACATTTGCAGCATGAAAATAAATTGTGACTCTAATTACGTTAGAACAATTTCATTAATTTTGATGAAGGGTCATAAGATCAATATTACAGAATTATTATAGTTAGGAAAGAAGAACATTTTACTTTTCTAGGATACAAAAGTGATGCAATATCTTTAAAACATAATCCCATTAAAACCATTTTGAAATTATAAAATCATACAAATTGTAGAGTTACCAAACTCCTTTTTGAACTAAATGTCACTGTTTTAAAAGATACAGCGCTTGAAATTAAACCATTCATCCTATGTTGTCCATCAGGATATAAATCTGCCTGTTCTACAGCAGACCCTTGCTAAAAAAGAAATGGCAGACAAGTATCCTCTTGCTTTCTGAAACGTGACATACTGCGGGACGTCACATAACCCAGGCATTATAACCAAATTGACTGAGGAAATAACGAACTAGTAAGAATTCCTGGAGGAATGGGGTAAAGCTAGAAGGTATCAGCTAACATGTCCTGAATGTCATGCATCTGTGCTCCATGCTGTCTCAGAGTTTATCTCAGTAATCATCAACTCGACCCTAAAAATTATCAGCTTCATCCCCATTTTATAAAACAGAAAGACTGAGATCAAGATAGTAGCGTGTTCTAAGCAAAGATTAAAGAGTGTCCAAAAGATCATCCAAATTCAGCTCTGACCCCAAAGCCCACGTGCATTGACTATATTGTCTCCACCAGCTAAGTGGACCCCTGAGTGGTTTATCCTTTGATTTACAGCCAGGCTCCACTAATCGATTATATGATAGTCATATTTTCTTCTGTAAATCCTTACTGTAAACCTTCTCCCACTTTTTCTTTCTGAGTCCAGTATCATTACTATTCTTGGCCCAAGTACAGTGAAAATGATTCTAGAATATCCTGAAAGGAAAGAATGTGGATTTTGTAGGGTTGCGATCATAATGCATTTGCAAATATATCTCTGAAATATACATGTGTAAATATCACAAATTTAAATTTTGATATTTGCTCAAATGATAGAGAAGGGTGACAATTACTATTTAAGAAAAAAGATAATTAATTTGTATTTAAACTAGATTTGCATTTCTTATAGCAAAATCAGTCACAAGGACAGTATGAACTCTGACATGCTGCCTTCATTTTGACTTGCTGTTCATTCATGTGATGTAATTCATTGTTTTTTTTTTTTTTTTTTTTTTTTTTTTTTTTTTTAACGTTTACTTATTTTTTTTTTTAACGTTTTTATTTTTTATTTTTGAGACAGAGAGAGACAGAGCATGAACAGGGGAGGGGCAGAGAGAGAGGGAGACAGAATCCGAAACAGGCTCCAGGCTCTGAGCGGTCAGCACAGAGTCCGACACGGGGCTCAAACTCACGGACCGTGAGATCATGACCTGAGCCGAAGTCGGACGCTTAACTGACTGAGCCACCCAGGCACCCCAGAATTCATTGTTTTTTTTTAAAAAAATTGAGCAAAAATGTACCAGACGTGTTTTTGTGCCAGGGTAGATGCTAGTTCTGCACTAATAAAAGGCATGGATCCTGCTCTTCATGATTTTAAAGTCTGTTGGGAAGTGAAATAGGCAAACAAGTTAGAACAATATAGTTCCTTGCTCCGATGAAAGTCCAAAATATAGTGAGGGCATAGGAGAAAAAGCTCAAAATCCTCCCGGGGTTATCTGAGATGATGTCACAGGGAAGGAAGCATTTGAAATAAAACTTAAGGAATCGGGAAACATTAACATCACAGGGTAAACTCTGCAACCCAATAGGGATGTGATGGCAATTGACTAAGTGACTATTTGTAAATTGCCGGAAACAATGCCAAGCACCTGGCCAGTAATACAGGTGTGTCTTCATTAGGTAAGATAAAAGGAGAGGACGCGGAAACATTTGCTCCTGTTTCAAACACTTGTAAATACGAGTTTACTTCTAAATAAATAAATAAGTAGGAAGGAAGGCAAGGAAGGGGAGAGGGAGGGAGGAAGGAAAGAAATACTTATAAATCTGTATTGTAGACTTATAAAACATTGTTCAGCTAGAAAGCGAGACAAGCTCATCCTTAGGTCTCAGTAACAAAGAGGAAATTCATTGTCAGAGCTGAGCTAATGTACTGCTAGAGAATCAGGATCCCATAGAGATGGGGGGCCGGGACCTTAATGTATTATGGGACGGGATGCCAAGCCACAGCCTAGTGTGTGTGAAATGCTCAGGCTGAGACGCCCTGTACACCCCGGTCTCCCATAGAAGTTATTGTAGAAAATTTGCCTGGTAGTCTAAAGATGCTGTGAACCCATCTTGGGCCCTGGGTTGGGTGACCCAAAAGAAATCAGGAACTACAGGCCTTTGCTTGGCCAAGACAGGAGGACTATATCCACACTACCTCATAAGATCTCAGAGCTGGAAAATTAATGTTAAAAACTGCACTGAGGTCCAACTACTTTGAAGAAAGTATCCCATTACCCATGACATAAAAACACCTATGGAAGACAGACAGTCATTGCTGAAGATGCGTTTACTACAATAATAATAATAATGCAAAGACATAGAATTAGCAGCCACTACAAGTTACCCCCTGAAACTCTAAGTAAGAGAGCAAAGTGAGAGATTTTTAAAAGATATGAATAAAAGGCTCAAAGAGAAAAAAATGTATTCTTTAAAAAAAATTTTTTTAATGTTTATTTTTAGTTTTGAGAGAACAGATGGGGGAGGTCAGAGAGAGAGGGAGACAGGATCTGAAGGGGGCTCTATGCTGAGAGCGGAGAGCCCATCAGGGGAATTTCACAAACCACAAGATCATGACCTGAGCCCAAGTCAGATGCCACACCGACTGAGCCACCCAGGTGCCCTCAAAGAGAACAAAATTTTGAATACAAGGTTAGGCAATGTCACAGTCGTATGAAAATGGCAGATTTGAAAAATAACAGAATAGAAATTCGAGAAGTGAGAGATCAGGTAATTAAATTCCGTGTCACCCAGCAGTTGGTTCCTCATCTCATTCTGCAATAAAAGAAATCAGGATTCTTTGAAGAAATGGCTCATTCTAGGACGGGGGCAGCAAATGTAGAAGATGAATTTGGAACATTTTGCAGTGCCAGTGAATAAGCCGTGCTCAAAAATCAAAACAGCGAGGGTACATCAAAAAGACCCAGGAGCCAAATGAACGAGCTCCCAGTCGAAGGACTCCCAGTCACAGCTGGACAATTTAAGCAAAAAAAAAAAAAAAAAAAATCTTAGCATATTGAATTGTAACCCAAAGGAGGTCGTTATCGAATCTCCGTGATTTTTAGTTTCCATCAAATACACCGTAAAGCGATGAGTGTTATTTCAAAATGACGGTGTGTATAATATGTAGAAATGATATCTTTTGTAAATACTTAAACTTACGAAAAACACAACGTTAACTTAAAACTGTGTAACGGGTGCGTAGTTTTTCAGATATCTTTTAGGACGGAGAGCCCTGCTGTGAGTTGTCTATTCAACCAAGTTTTACAAAGCGTGGGTTTGGGAT